CGCAGAGGCCATGCAACTCTGCGCGGCTGATTGCAGCCACGTGATCTCGACGATCGTGCGGCCGAAATCGGTCGCGCCTGACCGCCAGGGCTGCTCCAAAAAGGAGCTAGCCCAACATTTCAGTATTCCTCGGGTTCGATGTCTGTATCAACGGCATATGAGCCTGGTACCTGACCGACTGGGCTAGCTCCTACTACGAGAGTAGTAAGAGCAGCTCCTCTATATGAGGAGCTCTACCAAGTCACTCTTTCAGCCTGTAGCCCAACAGGCCTCACCTGCCTGAGGCCTAACAGGCCTTGCTTGCAGGCCCCTGTCTCGTCGGTTGGTTGCGTGACTGCCTGCTTGACTGGTCACCCTTCTGGGAAGGCCTCAGCAGCGGTCTGTCGGCCCCTCGGCTCGAAGTCAAACCCCGTGGCCCATAAACCCTTCTTTTTAGCCTCCTTAGGCCCTGAATCGCGCGGCTGGAATAGGTATAGTTTTACCGTTCTCATGTCCGCACATACTGCGGCTTCAGCAAACGAAGCATTACCATTCACATCCGTTACTCCTGGACGCCACATGCGTTCGGACTAACGTTCAAACTTTTAATCTGTCAGTCATAGGTCAGGTCTGCATAAACTTTTGGCAACCGTCGGCTCATCAAGTCCTTCAATTCAACGAAAGGGTCACACACCGTGCGACGTTGAAAAACCGCGGCAAATACCCTTGTCAGGGTATCTGCCCTGATAGCGGGTCTGTGAGATGCAAATTTTCTTTCTCGTTCCTTCCCGCCCACCTCCATCTTTTTTGTTTCTTTTACGTAAGTAGTGTGGGATCCGAGCCTAAAATGCATGTGTTGCTATTCATAGTAAGTCTTGTCATTCTGTGCGGGAAGATGGACTCGTACTTTTTCGTTTTGAAAGTGGTGTGGTGAAGCCCTTAGTTGTTTTCACTCCTGTGTGAGAAGTGTTGCATTACCAATAATTCCATTTTAAAAATTCCTTATTGAGGGCATATTCACACTGACACTTTTCTAAGTGTATCTGGCTACAATTATATGCAATTGTAAATTCATTTGACTGCAATCAGGTAGTGTGAGTATGCCCTCAGGTTGGATTTTGTCGCTACACCACTTTAGAAATATAAAAAAAAATGAATGTCTCTTCCGCAGGAAGTGGTAAGATGCATGTGTTACTATTCGAGTAAGTCTTGCTATTTGTGCGGGAAGATGGACTCGTACTTATTCATTTTGACAGTGGTGTGGCGAGACCCTTAGTTGTTTTTCACTGCTGTATGAGAAATGTTGCATTTGGAACACGAGAATAATTACCTGGAATTCCAGTTTCGGAATTCCTTATTGAGGGAATACTCACACTGACACTTTTCTAAGTGTATTCGGCTGCAATTACATACAGTCATAAATTTATCTGACCGCAATCAGGTAGTGTGAGTATGCCCTCAGGTTGGATTTTACTTATTTTTTGCATTGTTTACTAGAGGGACAGGGCTCAGGCTTTCAAAATTCCTTGTTGAGGTCATATTTTGCTTGTTATTTGCTTCATTTACTATAGGGGTGCGACTCAACCTGAGGGTTAGGGCTTGGGGCCTGTTGGCCCTTGCTGTTTGGGAACCAACATGCTACTTTCTTGTTGTATAGCCTTGGGCATTGGGCCTGATTGAAATAAAATTTCAATGTGATTTAAACCACCAGTACTTGACCTTGATTGAAAAAAAAAAAAAAAAAAAATCGTTTATGGGCACATTTTTCGGGGGTAAGCCAAGTGAACGTCCGGTCGATTATAAAAGAATTAAAAAATATATATATATACAAACAAAAAAAAAAGAAAAAAAAAAATCGCATTGTTTTTGTACGTGAGCGGGAGAGAGAGAAAGGAGAATGAATATTCTCATGTGGTCGTAGAAGATTCATTCCCGCTTTAAAAATTACGAACGGCGCGCTTGTACCGAGGGGGTGATCTCTCTCTCTCTCTCTCCCTCTCTCTCTCTCTCTCCCTCCTTTCTTCTCTCTCCCTCTCTCCCCCTCTTCCCTTGCGCATTCCTTTATGTGCAAAATGGAAAAATCTTCCCACGAACGCGGGAAGATTCATTCTCTTTTTGCATAGAAAGAAATGTACGAGGCTCTCTCTCTCTCTCTCCCTCCTTTCTTCTCTCTCCCTCTCTCCCCCTCTTCCCTTGCGCATTCCTTTATGTGCAAAATGGAAAAATCTTCCCACGAACGCGGGAAGATTCATTCTCTTTTTGCATAGAAAGAAATGTACGAGGGGAGAGAGAGAGAGAGCAAGACGACGCGTTTGTTGCGCCACTGCGCAGCGAGCGCGCCGATACGTCTCTCTCTCTCCCTCTCTCTCTCTCGCACGCGCGCGCGTGCACGAGTTATGGAGAACGGACTTTGGCTTTTTTTTAATATAAATAAGTACTGCGATTGTTTCTTTGTTTTTCCTTTTTTTTTAAATAGAATCTCGCTTTTTTTTTTCTCAAACCTTTTGGTGCTACTGATACCTCCAGGCTCGGGAAGGGTCGACCTACCAATAGGTACAAGCCTGAAATCGATAGTTGAGCGAGGTACTAATGGTTTAGAAGAAAGACTTGTAGAGTATCAATCTCCGATAAAAAACCTTACAAGGATAATTATGCAATATTGGTAAAAATTGAACACATCATGACAATTTTCTTAAGCCACCACTACCTTTCTCAATGTTGGAAAAAACGGTAATATACATCACACCGCGTTTTCATAGGGTCCCGAGGAGACTTGGGAAAAAAAAAATGTTTGGGCTTTATGAGCTCGAACAACGAAAAAAAAAGAAAAAAACAAGAATGCACAGAGGGGAAAGGAAGGACGTCGGGGAAGACCGTGACGGTGGTGTTCTCACATCAATGCCGGAAGGGATGCATCTACCCAAAATAATAACTAGTTTTTTTTTTTTTTTTTTTCCCTTTTGATGTCGTTATAGTGCCCTACCAACCAGGCAGGGTGGAATCCACGACCAACTGACATTTTGCAACAAATAGGACACTCTCTCACATGTTCTCAAAATTCTGTATCAAGTTGTTTCCACGTCCCTAAAAAAAACAAATTCTTCTTCGTTTCCCCCCCCCCCTTCTGTAATAGGTGTTTTGCAAGAGGCAACTTTGGCGTTTTTTCTCTGCTCAGAGGAATCCGCAGAAAAATCGAAAATTTTGAGAATCCATAGGAGAGGTCGTGTTCTTTCTAGGAAAAGTATTAGAACATTTTCAAAAATTATCTAGACCGCAAAATAATCATCGCGCCGATTGGGCACATTTTCCATTTTTGCCACTCAGCCATGTGTGGGCCAATTGAAAAAGTACTCCAAATTCAGGGAGTTTTCGCACTCAAAAGAATGCGTGAAAAAACTGAAAATTGGAGTACCCATATATTTTGTTGTGATCTTTCTAGGAAAAATACTAAATAAATTTTTAAAAATCATTCCAACTGTGAAATAGATCACGACCACAATTTGACCCATATTTCAATTTTGCCATTCAACCTCTCTCTCTCTCTCTCTCTCTCTCTCTCTCTCTCTCTGGTAGGGCCCCCCCCCCTCCCTCTCTCTCTTTCTCTCTCTCTCATATCAATAAATGGAACAAAACTCTCTCTCTCTCTCTCTCTCTCTCTCTCTGGTGCGCGCTCTTAGTATCATTGCTTTGGCTACCTTAGGGCTGCGCTCCCCTCGCCCACGCGGTAGACAATAGGACGAGTTTTGGCCCTTCTTCCGGCCTTGCCTGGCAATGCCAGTGAAGTGGAGCACCACCTTTTTCTGGCCTTACCTGGCAATGCCAGTAAAGTGGAGCACGAGAAAGTAGCCTGCCTGACGGGTCACTACGACTATCTAGCTGGCTGTGATAGTGGAGTGAAGAACGAAGGTGGAGGTGGCGAACTCCCGTCTGATGAGAGGCCATTACCTGGAGCTCGTGGTTGTTGTATTGTGGTATGACTGGCAAATAGAGTAAGGCCTGGACGTCTGCCCCAAAAAGACAGCGGAAGAATTTTGGAAACTCTGGAAAGAGTTCCGCAGGGACCCCACCGCGGAGTGAGTTTTGCGGCAAAATGACATCAAAATTTTCCCTAACAGGAAACTCCCCTGCCCACCGTCCCGAAAAGGAAAGCGGTGGTTTGACCTGGTGGTCGGCTGGGGAGCGTAAGAACCAGTGAGGTTCCGTAGCGGGTGATGTTGGGGCGGCACTTGAGGAACAAGACCCGTGGGCGGACACCTTCTTGTCCGACCGGGGGAGGAGACCTTGGAAACTTTCGAGATGTTGGCCCCCCTCTCCGCTCCCGGAGGACTTTTCCAGGCTGCGAACGAAGTGAAAACGGATTCCTGGCCTCTTCCAGCCCAAAAAAGGGGGGCTGTGGGGTCCTGGGAAACAGTTTCGCTGAATAAATAGCAACTTTCCAGGACCTCTTCCGTGGGTGGTGGGGTCCCCGAAACAGTTCTGCAGCGAAGTTTTTCCTTTCCCCATTCCTGTGGGTCCAGGCCTAATCTTGACCGCCCTGGTTGGTCGGCATCCGTGGTTGCCGCTTCTTGTGCTCGACAGGAGTTGAACCTCCAACTCCAACTGCCAGGTTATTTTACGACATAGAGGTTTATTGAAGTGATATAGAGGTGTATTGAACCCCTACAGGTTGACTGACTTGCGTACCAGACTGCCCCGGCGAAGTGGGCGTGGCCCTCACCGGCTGTGATCTGAAGTTGTTTGACATTGCATCACCGGCAGTACGGTCCAATCCAACGATATCTGACGTTGCCGTCTTTAGCCCGAATAAAGCGCCGGGCCAATATATCTGTTATATATATATATCTATATCTATACATAGTTGTATGGGTATTGTTGTGAGGTGATGTACAGGCATGATGAAGCCCCACGTTCTGCTGTTCGGGGGAAGCCACATACCCACCCACCCCCGCGGCTCGGTGATTTGTCATCGAAAGAGGATGGCCAGCCGATTTAGTTAGAATCGTCGTATTGGTGCAGCGGGACTTGAACTCATGATATCATGTCCTGTCCTGTCCTTTCCTGGGAATCTGCAACTCTGCCGACGGGTTGTGATTGCTGCGTTTTGCATCCGATCACAGTCGCAGGGCAGGGCATGTTACCTTCCTGTGATCAGCAACACAACAATCCTGTCAGCAATTCAACAGACAGGTATGTACACGCCGATCTCAGTCTCTTCAAGCATGACCGCGTTGTCACGAAAAGCGCGGGAGGAAGCGCCCCCCTCCTCACCCCAACCCCGCGGTTGGCATGGTGGATGTCATCAACCTCTCCCGCCCTTTGCCAACGTTCCCGCGCTTTCCCGGCGTTCCCGCCTTTTCCCGTCCTCTCCCTCTCCGTGAGCAAATGTCTCATTGCTCACCCTTACCCGAAAGGGAGGCCACTGCCCACGCGAGCAGCTGCTGAGGAGCTCCAAGCAGCTAGCTTGTAGCATGTTGACCCCCTAGTACTCCATCAATGACGCGTCGGCAGCGGGGTTTTGCCTTCTCTCCTCCTCCCTCCCTGTCTTACGCAGACAAGCTCGCTCGTGCGAGAAATCGGCCCGCGAGCGCGAGGGAGACGGGATCGCAATGGGACCGTGCTGAAGAAAGAGCACCGCTCACATATCGCGAATCAGAAAGAGAAATAGCGGACGAGCTTCAAGCTGCAGTTGAGTCGGCAGCTCGATATGCAGCCCGAGGAGGAGGAGGAGGAGGCGGAGAAGGAGGAGGTGTTTGGAAGTTCAATCAGCCCCCAGGCAGGCCGCAGACGGCACTGGGGTTGAGTGCGTCTTGGGAAGATGATGACGAAGTCGCGATTCCGTTGGATGCTGTCGAAGGCACTACCGTTAGCGTTAAGTACGTTAACGGCCATAAAGACGGCAGCTTCAATCTTAGAGAGCGGCCTCTGCCCGGTCACGCCAGGCAAAATGGCCACTTGGAGCAGAGTCTGGGGACTGGTGGCGAGGTGGTCAGAAGGCAGGCATGGCAAGGAGACGGGGAGGAGTCAAAGAACAGTCGACAGGAACGTATTGCTGAGGGGGCCAAGAAAGAGGGAGAGAGTGGAGGTGTTGGGGCTGCGGCTCTTCCGGAAGCGAAGGGTCAACCTGTGCAAGCTGCGCCTACACCTTGGACACGCTTCTTCTTCCCGTCTGATGGTATTGGAGGCAGCGTAGCTCTGAAGACGCAGTACTTCGACGTATATGTGGATATGTCGGAAGAGGACGAGGAAGATGACAGTTATGGTGATGAAGATGACGATGATGATGATGATGATGATGAGGTCGGTTTGAGGAAGAGGAAGGGGGGGATGGAGGGGAGGGGGGGGGAGGAGGAGGAGAAGAAGGAGAGGCGGCGGAGGAGACGACGGGGTCGTCATCGTAGATTTCTGGACAAGGAAGAAGAGGATTGGGGACCGTTCGTGTCACCGGAAGAGGCGGTGATGCTTGAAAAGCGAAGACTCAAGGAGCAGAGCCTGAGGCTTGGATACGTTCGTTGCTCGGGTAGACCTCCGGTTCTCAAGGCGGTTGCAGAGGCCATGACTCACAGGAAGGGAGCAGTGGTGGGGTCATCTGCTCCAGGGGGAAATGCTTCTGCTTCGCCGGGAAAGCATGCAGAGGCAGACGAACGTGAAGGGGAGGACTACTACGTGGAGGCTGTGCCTCGACAAGACCTTGCGGTGTTTGCCAGCTGGGTGAGACGGTTGAGGCCAGTGTTGACTGCAGGGACTACATTGGAGAACGTCCTCCCTCTCCTAACTCTGTCGCAGGGTCTGCTTAAGGAATTGATCGACCGCAGAATGGAGTTCTACCTGCGGCAGGTGGACGAAGAGAGGCGCATGTACAGGGACCGAGAGGTGGCCTTGAAGCTTGAGATCGAGAGAGAGAAGAAGAGGTGATTGACCGGGTATACCCACCACCCTGCCTGATTGAGCAAAATACTCTCTCTCTCTCTCTCTCTCTCTCTCTCTCTCTCTCTCTCTCTCTCTCTCTCCCCCCCCCTCTCTCTCTCTCC